TTCTTCCAGTTGTGCTGCTATTCTCACCTTAGATGAAGGTGTACAGAGCAAAATAGTTTCTCATAAAACAGTTAGTGTACATATTGCCCTATGACAATGGTTAAGAACCCCCACTACATGTCAACACTGTCCTTGGTGAACCTTGAGTTCCCTATCACCAGCTTCCCTGTCCCCTTCTGCCTTCTAGTCCTTGTCCCTGGACTGCTGTGCCTCATTAGTCCCATTTTATGGGACTGTCCTGTCCCCAGCTGAACAATGAACCTCGGGAGTGACTTCACCACTGAGCTAAAAGGATGTCTGGGGGCCATAATCTCAGGGTTTCTCCAGTCTCTGTCAGGCCAGTAAATTGTCTTTTTTTGTGTGTTAGAATTTTGTTCTGCATCCTTGTCTAGCTCTGTCCAGAACCCTCTGTTGTGATCCTGGTCAGAGCAGTCAGTGGTGGTGGCCGGGCACCATCTAGCTGTAGTGGACTCAGTCTGGTGGAGGCCTTGGTAGCTGTGGTCCATTAGTCCTTTGGACTGATCTTTTTCTTGTATCCTGTTCTTTTCATTCTCCCTTGCTCCCGAAGGCGTGAGACCAGTAGAGTATCTTAGATGGCTGCTCGCAGGCTTTTAAGACCCTAGACGCTACTGACCAAGGTAGAATGTACAACATTTTCTTTATGAGCTGTGTTATGCCAGTTGAGCTAGATGTTCCCCAAGGCCATGGTCCCCACATCCCTACATCTAGCAGTTCAGTCCCTCAGAGAGTTTGGATGTGTATTTATTAGCATATAGATCATGACGCTATTGAGACATGTAAATATCCAACACTGATCAATGGAGAAAGGTCTAGAGGGCAGCCTAATACCTTGTTATGATTTTTTTTCCTAGAAATCCTTTTTTATTAAACTTCACTAACATTAAGCAGCTAAGAATTGCTCCTATTTGGGATGAAGTCAACACAGATCACATATAGATAGGCTCTGGTTAAGGAAATTACATTCTCTGGGTACATAAACTAACAAAGATCTGTGTATACTAGAATATGATATTCCTAATGTAAACGACAGAATCATCAAGATTTCTGACAGTTCTCATAGTTTTCACACATCAGCTGATTTGTGAGGGTTAGCCAAGTTCATAGGAAGCATATCATGGCCAGAGGCCCAGATGAGAGATAATGGTGACTTCTGAGAAGTGCTAGCTATCTGTTGTAGCCAGAGGTTAAGAGTGTTGGGGAAATAGTGACAAAAGGAGACATGAGGCTGGAATGGAAAGGATAAGCCAAGGGGTCCAGGTCCATATGATACAGAATGATATACTCTACTGAAAAGCTTTGACCATCCTGTAGACTCTAGAGAGTAAAGGAAGAATTTCAAGTAGGGCAGTGGCATCAAGCTTTAGGACAGTCACTATGATGAAATGTAGCTAATCTCTTCTAAGATTTACATGTTATCTCTTCATTGAAAACAAGACAGGGCAAAGTTCATAGTTCTAGAATAATTGTTTTTCTTGTACTGTTTGACCCCTCGAAATCTTTTCCGTTAATCATCTTCCACAGAACTGTTGTGCTTATGGCAAAACCAGTTTAGAAACAGAGAGGGCACAGAATGGTTTGAGTCAGAGCATTAAATTTGGAGCCAAAAGATTTTTATTTGAGTTCCTGCTCTGCTACTCACTAGTTGTGTAATCTAGGGAAGTCACTTAATCTCTGAGAGTAGGTTTTCTGTAATAAAAGTTAATGATGATAATGAAAATAATAAAAGAATTTGGAAATTTTTACTTAGTTTTTTTTGTATACAGTTCATTTTTGGTTCTATACAATTGCCAGAGTGCTGGGTTTTTGTGATTATGGACTTCAGATACAAACCTTGAACTTGTGTTTATTCTAGCTAAGGCAGGAACAGATCCAAATTCAGCAGCTTGGGCTGCTTATTATGCTCACTATTACCAGCAGCAAGCACAGCCACCACCTGCAGCTCCTACAGGTGCACCAACCACAACCCAAACTAATGGACAAGGTAAGTGTGGTAATGAAAGAACTTTTTGTCTATATGAAAACCAAACATTGTGTTTGGAATTATATATGAAGTGCATTACTGCATAATTCCTAAAATTTCTAACATTGTTCAGTGATAACTTTAGGAAAAGTTACTTTGAAATAACTTAAACTTTTATGAAAGTTGTATGAACAGTACAAAACTCCCAGATACCCCAGCAGTTAATGTTTTATCCCCATTTGCTCCATCGTCCTGTCTTTCATATCCACTATCATTAGTCCTTTTCAGAGCCATTTAAGACCAGTCTGGAGACATGATGCCCTGTTACCCTTAAATACTCCTGTGTGTATTTCCCAAAAAATACATAACCGCTATACAACCCTCCAAATCAGCTGATCAACATTGATATGTCATTACTGCTCCCAGTTCACAGCACCTGTTCAACAATTAATTTCTTCTGATCCAGGATCCCATCTGAGAACAGATGTTGTCAGGTCTTTTCAGTCTCACCAATCTAGAATAGTTCTCAGTTTTTTCCTCTCTTACATGTTCTGAAGAATACAGGCCCTTCATTTTGTAGGATGACTTGTCAACCTAGATCCCTTCAGTTTTTTCTCATGACCAAAAGCGTATACTTACTGGGCAAGATTACCTTAGAAATGATTCTGTGCTCTTATCACGTCAGGGTCATATGATGTTGTTGACCTCTTCTAGTCTAGAGAGGGTAACCTTGATCACTTGTTGTGTTGGTGTCTGCCAGGCTTCTGTACCATAAAATTATCATTTTTCTCTGTGAAATTGATTAGTATTTTCTAGGGAATCTCATAATACTGAGATGATGCCACTATCCCATCAGCATTAGCCTCTGTTGATAACTCCTACCTGATTCAGCCTCGACTAGGATGGTAACTTTCTGTTTCCATCATTGTATTACATTTATTATTTGGCATTTCACATTAAGGAAGTGCTTTCCTTTTCCTCCCCATTTATTATATCAGTATGGAATCCTTTTTTATTCAATAGGTTGTATTTTCAAAGTATTTTTATTATTTATTTTGTTGATCAAATTTTACTAGATTAGTCCATTCAGGTGTATCTTCAAGGTGGCTCCTGTATCCTTTTGACATGTCCCATCATTCTTTAAGTACTCTCTTACTTTCTGATAAAATATTCTAGGCTGCTTTTGTACTTTCTGGGCTCCAACCCTAGAATCAGCCATTTCTACAAAGAGCTTGGATTTCTTTTAGTAATATTTAGAATACTTATGTAGACAAAACTCATGGTGCTCAGCGTGCTCATTGTTACTGAGATGCAATTGCTTCTAGCCCTGTTTAGTGGACAGAGCTAAGAAATATATGTACATAAGTGTATACCTATATATACATATATAAAATACACCACCTACAACTAGTTAGTTCTGTATCTGAGTGTGTGTGTGTGTGTATATATTAAAATCATCTGTTCACATCAGTACCTGTAATTTCATCCTACACTTTGGAAAAGGCCAAATTGCCTTTAAAAACTTTTAAAAAAATTTTTTTTCCCCTTGAACAAGGAGATCAGCAAAATCCAGCTCCAGCTGGACAGGTTGATTATACCAAGGCTTGGGAAGAATACTACAAGAAAATGGGTATGTTCTACATTTCTTTTCTTGTACAGCTAATTAAATTGAAATATTTAGTAAATACCCACATTAGAAGGTTGAAGATTTTTATAAAAACATCTTTGTACAATGTTTTTATTACTTTGGGCTTCTATTAATTTAAAAAATCTTGAGGTGGAAAGGAATCGAGCAAGAATGCATTCTAAAATCACAACTTTCAGACATACCAAGGTCATCACAAATTGTGTATGCTAATAAAAAGAATTAAATTTGTGGTTACCTGACAAGAGAATCTTTCTATCTCTAATTGCATTTGTCAGCCAGTTATTAATTGAACCTGGAAATTTTTCCACTGGCACATATGGCAGTTGAATATTGCCTACAGTTTTGTCAAAGACAGTTAATATATTAATAGACTAAATGACATAAGGTTAAATCCTAGAACACTAAGCAAAAGTTAGTGGTGTGTTGATAGCATTATTTTTGCTGCAAAATAAGCAGGTAAGAAGTGACTTACACTGACATGAAGTAAACGGCTAGATAATATTTGCATACCTGAAAAAAGAAAAATCAATCGTTTGGGAAAGCCATTTTAATTCAGTAACTAGAGCATATACTACATGTCAAGCATGGTGATAGGTGCTAAGAAAGCAATTAATTGTGGGCATGTCAGCTACGAGCCCTACCCTACTGGCTGGCTATTATATTTTAATGAAGGGTACAGTTGTGAGTCAAGTGATTTGTAAATACATTATTTAAAAGGTTACACAACTACAAAGTGGTAGAATCAGGATTTGAACTTTAAAAGGGTCTCTTAAGTCCCAAACCTGTCTCCCAAATTTGCCTTTTTCAGGGACCATTTGGAACCTGATGTTATACTTCCAGACAAATATTTATGTTTCAGATGCTTATGCTCTGAGTCACTTAAAAATTTTTAACACAGATAACACAAGCTTCAAGTTACCAAGTTTACACCACAGCCAGTTGTAACAAATGAAGTTTAAACAGATAAATTTACCCATCTTCATTGCTGTAGAAAGTTATCTGTAGGTGGTAGAATTTTATAAGATACAGTCTACTTGTGGCTCTCAGTGTAAATTTCAGTATGATTTCTTTGCAAAGAATGTTTATTTTCCACAGAAAATTTTTCAGAAGAATGATTTCATTCAGCTTCTTTTTTGTGTAAAAGTTCATGCACCTGCTGAGAAAAGTGTTCCACACAGCTGATTTCTGCTTAAAGAAAATTCTATTTCCTGGTAGAATGGCTTTCCAGGAAGGTCATGCTGAATGTTATTTATGAGGCTGTAACACTCTTTTGTGACCCAGCTTATCTCAGGCAAGTCTACCATAGTTAAATTCTGTGAAAATAAACTTTTTCCTTTTCTAACTTTAACCTCAAAGCAGTATGCTTTTAGGATGAGCACATATTTGTCGTCCAAACAATATACTTTTTTTTTTAGTTTTAGTTTTAACAAAGAGAAGTTTATTTCTTCACAGTAAAGTAGGCTAAAAGTCCAAATTCAGGGTGGCAGCTCCAGGGGAAGGCTTTCTCTCTCTCGGCCTTCTCATTAGTGTTCCCCCAGACTAGGAGCGTCTCTGTGCAGGGACCCTGGTCCAAAGGGCGCGCTCTGCTCCCGGCACTGCTTTCTCGATGGTATGAGGTCCCCTGTCTCAATGCTCACTTCTGTCTTTTATATCTCAAGACATTGCCTCAGGACCCAATCCAGTCTTGTAGATCAGGTCCTGCCTTACTAACACAACTGCCACCCATCCTCCCTCATTAACATCATAGAGGCAGGATTTACAGCATATAGGAAGATCACACAGTACCAGGAATCATGGCCCAGCCAAACTGATACACACATTTTTTGGGAGACATAATTCAAACCATGACATTCCACCCTTTGACCCCCAAAAAATCACATCCTTGCGACATGGAAAACATATTCACCCCATCATATCATAGCAAAAGTCTTAACTCCAAGTCCAAAATCCAAAAATTCCTCTTCATCTCTGAAATCTAGAATACAAGTTATCTACTTCCGAAGGTAAAATGGCAGAACAGGCACAAGCTAGACATTTCCATTACAAATGGGAGAAACTAGAGGAAAAGAAGTGATACCAGGCACCATGCAAGTCAGCAGAACACATTACATTAGCCCTCAGGGCTTTGAAAATAATCTTCTGTTCTGTAAGACAATTTACACAGTAGCCCTGCCGTCTAAACTCTAGGTATCTGCCACGCTCACTGGATTTTGAGTGGAGGCCCCTCGGCCCTGGGCTTCAGCTTCGCCTTCCAGGCCTACTGGGACAGCAACTCTGCTCCCTTGGCTTTAGGCGCACCATTCTCCTAGTCCATCGGAGTGACAGCTCCACCCTTAGAAATACCAGAGGCCATGGCTCCACCCTTTGAAACCCCTGAGGTCATGGCTATACCTTTTGAGGCTGAAGCAGTTCAGCTTCTTGTGTCCCTTGTCTCTCCAGCTTCTGCTTCCTATGGCCTCTCGGCCTTCGGGCCTCACACCCGCATCTGCCCTGCTGGGGCAAGTGTTCCAAAGCTCAGTAGCTCCACCGATAAGTGCCCAGAGGCACCCCACTCTGCCAGGAAGCCTCCTGCTCACGGGCATTCAGCTCTCTTGCTCCGTGGGTTGGCTCCAGCTCCGTCTCGCACTGTTCTCCTTGTTCTGCTGCTGTTGATTCTCTGCCGCTGCCACTTCTCTGCTGCTGTAGGTTCTCTGCTGCTGCTGGTTATCTGTCACTACCGTACATCTGTCCATTCACAGTTTTAAAACCGCTTCCACATTTAGGTATCTGTTAGAGCAGCACCCCACTCTCCCGTTACCAAATTCTTAGTTATCTAGTGCTGCTATAACAGAAATACCACAAGTGGATGGTTTTAACAAAGAGATTTATTTCTTCACAGTAAAGTAGGCTAAAAGTCCAAATTCAGGGTGTCAGCTCCAGGGGAAGGCTTTCTCTCTTAGCCTTCTCATTAGTGTTCCCCAGACTAGGAGAGTCTCTGCGCAGGGACCCTGGTCCAAAGGACGCGCTCTGCTCCTGGCACTGCTTTCTTGATGGTATGAGGCCCCCCCAAACGATATACTTTTGAGAACGAATGAGGATGTTTTTAGTAAATATGCCATGACATCTTAGTGGTCGGGACCTCTGGTCACCTTAATTTGAATTAAATAGTATCACTGGTTTACAGAGTTGAACATGAAGCCATTAGCCCCAAGTTGTGGTTTCACAATGGGTAATATACCAGAGATGTTACTGCATTATTATTAAAAATGGGTAAGAACAAAGGTCTGTTAATGGACTTAGGTAATTACTGGGGGATGAGTTTGACTTATGTGTTTTATTCTTATTTCTTTGTACTGTGACCATTAATAAATTTAGTATCTATTTAGCCTTTTTAAATTTACTTGTCCAAAAGGAGTATGTTGAATGTAATCTGCAAAATCTTTAAAAAAAAAATTCTGTTATTTACTGTTAAGGATATACAATTGACCTTGCCTGTCTTCAGTTTTTCATTTTCTGCTATTCCCTGCTGACTACGCTGTAAAATTTCTATTTTTTAATGATATACTGGCTGTTGAATCCTCTGTTGAGAAAGGTGATATAAAGATAACTTTTAAATAACCCTTATGTTTGACTGAAGATCGTCCCTTCCTGTCCCAAGTCACCTTTTTTGTTGTGTGTTTTTCTATAGCACTGTAGTGATCAAGTGTTAATTTTATGAGCAAAGTAGGACAGTTGGACAATTCCTTCTCATATGTAAATCTTGAACTGTCAGGTAATTTAGTCCCTGGATGGTGCAAACTGTTAATGTGCTCAGCTGCTAACCAAAAGGTTGGAGGTTTGAGTCTGCTCAGAGAGACCTCAGAAGAAAGGCCTGGCAATCTACTTCCGCAAAAATCAGCCATTAAAAACTGTAGAGCACAGTTCTCTGACATGGGGTTGCCATGAGTTGAGTTGAATCGACAGCAACTGTTTGTTTAATTTCATCACATCTTTAATAAGTGTTTTTCATGGTTTGATAGCTATGATAGGGTCAGCTTATTTTTTCCTGTGAAAATTTCTTTTGTAAAAGATTGGTTGCTTAACTGCTCTGATTTCTTTTAGGTACATGACTTGTCCTCGAGATCTTTTTAAGATAACTACAAATAAGGGAACTTACCGCATAAAGCTGAGATAGTTCAGTCAGAGTAGAACTGCCCTGAAGGGTTTCCAAGGCTGTAATCTTTATGGAAGCTGACTGCCACATCTTTCTCCCAGGATATATTGTATATCTGTATGTAAATATTGGTGCCCTGGTGGCACAGTGGTCAAGAGCTAGGGCTGCTAACCAAAAGGTTGGCAGTTCGAATCCACCAGTCACTCCTTGGAAACCCTATGGGGCAGCTCTGTTGTGTCCTGTAGGGTCACTATGAGTCAGAACTGACTGAACAGGTTATATACATATATGGTCTCCTAAAGTGTAAACTATTTGATATCAAAACTTTGTGAACTAAGTAGAGGAAGAAGGGGGAAAGTTGAAGACATGCCTAAAAGGGGTGGGGTACAGGAGCTAGAAGAGAGTCAAGTAGTAAGTAGATTAGATAGGAAGGGTTCTTTCTGTGCTTTCAGCTGGGCAGAATGGATCCTGTTTATCCTTCAGATTGGAAGAATGAGTCTTTCTTTGAGTATCTTCAAGATTGGAATGCCAAATGTTTGCAACTGACATACCAAGTGTTTTGACTTTATTAGAGTCTAACCTATTTACTTTAATCCTTGCACAGGGATATTTGAATTTGGGGTAGTTTTTAAGGAAATATTTTAGTCTAGTGAATTTACTTGATGTGTCTCCCTGTTAACTACCATCTTACAGTGTTATTTTGCCTCCAAAGTGAAGTGCCTCTTACAATGAGGTTAGTTCCTTTTTTAAACCTGAAGTGAAAATTGTTATTAACCAGGTTTGGCAGGTTTTCAGTTGTGCAGTTTTGTAAGGGATGTTGTTGTGTGGTTTTATTGCTATTTAGCATTTTTCTAAATATTTAAACCTGTTTAAGATTTGCTTAAATTGTATCTCCTCATAAGATCAAAATGTTTAACTCACTTTGTCTTTGAAAAGTTATGGAAAACAAAGAAAAATACAAGAATCTTTTTATAGTACATGGGCCTTCTCTGTACTGTTACCTAAAGAAGAGAGGTGTTTTTCATATATTTTTAATATTAATAGTCATAAATCTTAAATTTGTATTCACTCAGATGCTCTTATTCTGTGACCACTTGTGTGATGGTAACAGACTGCTTTATGAAACTACAGAAGTTGCTTTGTTGGCAGCATCTGACAGACATACAGACAGCTTATATGTCTGCTGTGGTATTTTTTGTCTAGCTATAATAATTATTCCACAGAGCCAAGCGAATTGCAAGTGAAACAAGATACTGCTCAAATAATGGAGCTGAACAGGAAAACACATTTTCTCCCTGAATGGGATAACATACTCTCTTTTCTCCCCAATATTTTTTTGAATATTTTTATACCTTCAGAAAATTGAAAAAAATAATACAGTTAACCATATTTATACCTTCTGCCCAGATTCACCATAATATCATCAGTATACAGTGCATATTTAAATTTTCTTGGTTGCCACAAAAGAAGTCTTCTGTAGCTGTTTGTTTGTATTTGTTTTGTTTTAGTTCAGAACCTATTCAAGTTTCATGCGTTGCATATGGTTGTTGTATCTCTATAGTTTCTTATTTCAGAAAAGTCTTCCTGCCTAGAAAAAGACCTGCTCATGAAAGTTGTTGAGTTTTATGTGTTTCATTGATCTTGTTGCCTAGAACCTCTTCATTAATTGTTCTTTATGCCTTATGTTAGGTTATTTTAATTAACACTGTGCTGTACTCAGTTTTTAAACATCTTATTAAAAGATATCTTGCCTGTTTCTGTATATGTATAGCTTATAGTTTACTTACTGATCAACAGGAAACAAAAATCTTGGTCAGGTCTTCTTAGTTAAGCCTTTAAATTTTTTGTTTCTCTTGAAATGTTTCTTTTCCTATTTCTCCATTAAGGATTTGTATTTTAAAATCTGTAGTAGAACAGATCCAATTGGATTAGAGGCCAAAAAGAATATAGTGGGTTTGCCGCCCCTCCTTACCCTCTGCTTATCACCACCAGGGAACCATCTGAAGGTTTATAGACTACTTACTTGAGCACTTCCCAAACACATTTAGCACATTAGCAGTTTGAATTGAATCAAGATAATGCCTAAATCTTTATCTTTCTTACTTAAAGCTATGTGGATTGTGTGGTTTTCTTTCATTTTTTATTAATAGCGATGCTCTTGAAACAAAAATTAGACTTACCAAAAGACAAAAAGGAAATGAAGAGCGTTTTGCTTTTTTTTTTAATTACAAGGTAGTTTTCTGATATTAATGAATATTTAAACTAAAACAGGAGCATTCTGACCCTCTGTACTTTTGTCTTTGTAACCTGTACTTAAAGTGGATATAATTTTGTATTAAAATTTAGGGGGTTTTTTTTAGGTCAACAAGGGCAGACACAAGATTATTCAAAAGCTTGGGAGGAATATTACAAGAAGCAAGGTATTGTTTTTATTAGAAATGAGATTCTTTTGGGCAATTAATTGTGGTTACAGCAACAAAGTTGTTCTGTTTTCTCAAAGGTCAAGCAGTTCCTGCTCCTACTGGGGCTCCACCAGGTGGTCAGCCAGATTATAGTGCAGCCTGGGCTGAGTACTATAGACAACAAGCAGCCTACTATGCCCAGACAAGTCCACAGGGAATGCCACAGCATCCTCCAGCACCTCAGGTATAATAAATTTGTTGTTTTCTGCGTGTTTGCTCTTTATCTGTTTGGGAGTATGTTTGCCTTTTTTAATTTTTATTTGGCAAAGTGTAACCATCCAAATGAAGTTACTGTGGTGTATTGTTTGGGTTTTTTTGTTTGTTTTTTATAATGCTTTCTGGCATCTGAGTGCTGACTATTTCTACAATGCCTTTGATTTTAAAAATAAATTTTCTTCCCCCAGGGATTTGAAAATCATGCAAGAAGCCACCACCATTTATATTAACCAGTTTTTCTTTCTTAAAGGATTCACTCCTGAGTTAGCTCCATTTAAAGGATTTTCTTTAACTTTTTGTGTATTTCTTATGTATCTCTTCTGCACAGGGCCAATAATAAGAAGTGGACAATACAGTATTTGCTTCATTGTGTGGGGGAAAAAAACCTTTGTTAAATATATGGATGCAGACGACTTGATGAAGATCTTAATTTTGTTTTTGGTTTAAAAAATAGTGTTTTTTTTTGTTTGTTTGTTTCTTTTTTTTTTTTTTTTTTTTTTTTTTTTTTGTTTTTTTTTTGTTTTTTTTTTTTTTTTTTTTTTTTGAAAATGTACAAAATATCTATCACTACTGATAGGAGGTTAATATTTCTGTGTAGAAATGAAAATTGGTTTGTTTTTAGTATTTAGTGTAGATGTACACATTCCAGCAAATGTATTTGCAACTATTATGTGGTCGATGCTTTGTGATATAAATGTACTTTTTCAATGTATACTTTCACTTTTAAAATGCCTGTTTTGTGCTTTACAATAAATGATATGAAACCTCCTGTGTCGGTAAGTTGGATATGTGGGTAATTAAAGGATTCGTAATTTCTTAGCAATGATAAATTAAGATACATATACACAAATATATAAGATTTCCCCATGAAATACTAATTGAGTTTTTAAACACTGGCATGTTTTTTTCCCCCTTGCAGTATAGTAGTAGATTGGAGGATCTTTTCCATTTATTGTATTTGGCTGTTTCAGCACAAGTAATCCTGGTATCTTCATTTTTTTCTTCTCTTTGGTTAAAAACTGCATGTGTGTACAATGATCTTTTGGCATACTTCCATTGCATTAACAGTGAAATTTCCTTTTATATATGACCACTGTTTCAGACCTGTACTGCTGCTATAACAGTTAACCTTTCTATTCTTAATTTGATAATTACTTAATTTCCAAGACTGTTTCAGCATAACTAATTTTAAACAGTTTTCCGATAGTGAGTATGAATAGTCTAATAAGAACAAGTTTTTTTGTTTTTTGTTTTTTTTTCATGTAAAGCAGTTCTTTCAATGTGTACAATATTAGTGTGTTTCTTTCTAAATATAGGGTAGAAAAGTGAATAGTATGCAAAAATACGGCTACATTGCATCTACCATTGAAACAAAATTGGGATATAAAAACTTTCAAGCTTTTTTCTTTTTTTTTTTTTCTTTTTGCAGTATAGATAAGCTTTGTTTTGTAAATGCACAAGTCCAATCATTGAATCAACTTAATTTTTTTATGTACTTGAAATCATTTTATTACTCTTTAACACTCATGCTGAAGTTCTGATATTTTGTTGAAATCCATTGTTTTTACTCTTTGCATATTTGTTGGCTCTTTGCATATTAATATATTAGACTACATGCAAATACAGTCTGTCTTGCCATTGTCTGTTGAAGTGCAGGTTTGATCCAGCCAGTATAGAACTAGCTCTGTAGGGGTGAGGAGGACTGTGCTGTGTATCATCCTTGATTGTGTTCCTTCAAGGAGCATTGCACTGTAAGTACATCAGAATGACAAATTGATGAACTGCAACAGTATCTTTTTGTCAATGTTCCACATAATGCAAATGCCATACTTTGTGTGAATATTATGTTGGAATACAGTGCTGATATCTTGGAAAACCATAACTGCTTTTTAATTTAACATAGAATAATACATAGGTCTGTATTTTATTTTTAAGTGAGCTTAATGGGTAAGTATTTTTGATGTGCTTTAGCTATAGCTAAAGAAAACTGATCATTAACAAAGTTAAATAGTATTACTGGTGCTCCTAAAGTAATTGTTTTTTAGTGTAAAGTATGTATATCTTATATATTAATATGAAAGATTTGAAATGTATCAGACAGAAGTGGTTTTCAGTTTGTAGATAGTAAGCAATGTAGCAGTTCTAATGCCATTTCATAAATATATGTCAGTTCTTTATTTGATAGAGAGCACCATTTGTTGCTTTGAATATACTTTAAAAAGAAGATGTACAAGGACATAAATGTTGAGATTACCTACAGGGTGGAAAATAGCAGTACAGTTCATTATAGATAGAAATGTTTTTGATTGTTTTTCTAGAACCCAGAGTGACTTCCCTTACCCATCTTTAGATCCAGATGTGTAGTTTTAGTTTGAAATTTATAGTAAAGGAGTTAGTTATCTGTTACCTTTAGAGTAGGGTATTGACTTGAACAATTTCAGTATTTTGCATGATACTGTTTTATAGATGACCATTTAGGAAAGTGGTGCATTTATTAATTAAACTGAAAAAAATAGTTCAGTTGGATTCAGTATCATAATTCACAAAATGGAGGCTGTTGATTTTGATTCATTTAAGGTTTAAAATCTTTATTAATTGCAAACAGTGCAATTATTTATACTTCACAGTGCCTTCCCAGACCTTCCACCTTAGGTTCTGCTGCAAAAAGCAACAGGTAAGCACAACCTAAGGACATATATAAATAAATATTTCAGTACATTAATGTTGTCCCTGTGAGGTTTTTGTGGTTGTGTATTCAAAAGCAGTCTGCTACTGCTTCCCCAAAATGTATTTTGTTATTTATGCTACCATTTCAGTGGAAAGTCTGTTAAGTTGTTAAAGCACCTGTTTACATTTCTGGGTAATGTTTTTTAATTTTTTTATTAAAACAATGAGTAGATTGCTGCTGTAATTGAACTACATCCAAATCTTTTTGTAATCTTTTCCCAAGTATAGAAGAATTGTTACAGTTCAGAAAGGGCAATTACAGTTTTCTCGATTTAGGAAATCATTTGGTCAGAAACTTCAACAGCCTTCACAATCTGTTTATATGATTGACAGGACATTTTCTTTGCCCTCCAAAGCTATGGATTCTTTATTTTTTCTTGAACTACAGTAATTCAGTAAGGACATTGTGGGTCACAGTTTTATTATGTTTTTTTTTTTTTAGACAATTCAGTTTTCATAACTTATATGTGCTTGAAAAGGAAAAAAACACTATAAGGAATACTGGCAGTATGTTTTGATAAAAGACGTAAATCAGTGAAATGTTAGTTATGTAGCAAATAAGCTTTCATAATCTGTATAGCAATCAGTATTTTTCTTATTAATAATACTTTAATAACTGACGCTGCATTCATTTTTTGCCAGTTTAAAATGTTTGTGTGTTTTTATAGAGAATTTTAACTGGTACTCTTTTGAGTTAAGATGAATATATTAAAGCAGCATCTTAACGGTTTTGTTTATTCGATTTCTAAAATGTGCTGATCCTTTTAAAACTCCTGCTTATCTCTACAACAAAGAAAAATATTCAAAAATACTGCCTTCATTTTCACACACAGTGCTGAAGATGCTGCAAGCACCAAATCATAGCTCATAAAATCAGGTCCTGAGATAGTTACCCATAAAGAGGAATCCTTTGAGTGTATGCCATTGGTGAGCCGATGAGCATGGACCATAGAAGGGCTCAATGTAGAAGGTAAAATTGGCAAATCATAATTGAGAAGTATGAAATGTATTCCCATAAATAATATGGTATAGGGTGTAATGTACCTGCTTTTGATCACTTTTCATTTTAAAGTACTATTCACTTGATCTTAAATGTTCCATGAACTGTTAAAAATTTTTATGTACCTACTACACCACATTTGTGTGTGTGTGTGTGTTTTAATAGTCAATGATAGGAATGTTAAAATTGATAATATAAAGAGGTTTTCTGAACCTTAAGAGCCTGTCAAGTTTCAGTTAGTTGTAGTTCGCATTTTTATAAAATATAAATGAATGCTAATAGATATTGGGGCATTATTTCTGTCTCATGAGAATTTTTTTATTCATTACCATAAGCCTTCACTGATAACTACAGCATTTTTTAAATGGCGCTAATCTTAACCTTGAAATAAATGCAAAGCAGAAAAGGTGAGCCAGTTGACTTGAATGCAGTAGATGTTAGGAGTGTTAGAAGCAATGTTTAGTTTAGATTGAAATTGAGCTGATTTATTTTATGTAGCACTTAAATTTGACTTTTTTTTTTTTTTTAGATCTTGGTGTCGTAATACTTAGAATTTTTATGTTTTGATGTTTCTTTTAGAAATGAGAGGTATACTTTTATTTTTTTAATTGCTAGAAATGGTTTTAATACTAATACTAGTGATTTGATACTAGTACTTTATAAAAGTATATCCTTAAACAAATATCTCCGTAGTTAATTCGTAAGGGTGGGTTTGGGTAGGAGTAGTAAGGTACCTTCAGTGGGAAATAGGAATATTCCAAAGTGATAACATTTCATTTGTTTGAATACTCTGCCAGGAAAACCAGTACTACCTAGAGTTGTCTAGAATAATGATGTAGAATTTACAATTCAGTGAGGATGTCTTATTTTTATTTTCTGCAAATTCTGCCACATTTAAAAATGCATTTTAACAATACCTAGTTAAAGATAATTTTGATTCTGAAAATAACCTTTTTTGTTTAGTATGTCACTTGAGTTTTCTTGCCACAATATACAAACTTCTGAAGGATTTTGAAATTGGTGCTTTTAAGAAGCAAGTAAATCCTGGGTTTTTGTTTTCTTCAATGATACCCCTATTAGAAGCTCTAAAATGTGTTTGCGCATATATATATATATTTTTTCTTATGCATGCTCGATGCATTTTCGTCCTGAGAAAAGCGTTCTCTACAGAAACTACCCGTGTGTAAAAAGAAGATTGGCTTAAAATGGCTACTGTGATGGGAACAGTGTCTTAGGGAGATGCAGCTTGGACTTGAGGTAAATTGAATACTTTACAAACTGTGGTTTAGAGCTTGCTTTAATGGTATTGTATGTAAAAGAGCACGATTGCTGTAATTTTGTATTGATTATGGTTTCTTCAATAAAAAAAATAAATGTACGTTGATGAATTACAAGGGAGTGTTTTGTCACTTTTCTACATATAGTACTCGGTAAAAAGAATCTTCTGCTTGACTGTTTCATTTAAGGTGCAAGGAAATGTTATTTTTAATTCTAATGATAAAGGGGGAAGCATCTGATTCACAAGCCTTTTTTTTTTTTTAATATAGAAGCTACTTTATTATGGGTTTACATTGTAAAATAAAATTGTCTTCCAGAAAATTAAAATATAAAACAACAATGGTGGCTAATTATTTACAAACTCTTT